GGGAACTTTTAGATATTTCTATTTGCCTACAATTAGTTTCTCAGTCTGAACGTGCGATAAAACAACTTCTTAGGGGGGCTAGACATGTAACGTTTTGTGTGTCAAAAATTCCCCAGGGTACCCCCGGTCCAGAACAAAGTCCACAAGGTGAAGAGCGCGGTCCACACACGTCGAGATTCGGCAGGCAACTCCTCCTCTTTTTATTTTTGCTATCTCGTCACTAGTCCCTAACGGCCAAAATGACCGTTACAAAGGAAGCCCAAAGGAGGAAAAAAGAGTTGCCTGTGGAGGAGGCTACCATTTTACCAACACAGTAGACCTGCTCTTTCCATTTCTGAACATCATTTTTTGATAGCTGATTGATTTAAGGTACGTGTGGTCACGTGACCCCGAGATGTAAAGTGCCTATAGACCCCTTGCATGTGACGTCAAAGCAGCTTCATCTGGAGGACAAAACAAAAGATTTTTAACCTCTTGGGAACTAGAATCCATTGTTTTGTCCTCCAGTTGGAGCCGCATTCCCATGAACTGCAAGGGGTCTATTAGATAATGACGAGATAAGACTTGCATATGCAAAGAAAGATAACATTGGGAAATGCGATACAAAATACATCCTATTTTTTCGAAAATCATTCAAATCAGCAATATTATTAAAATTCGTTTTTATCAGTTTGATTTTGTGAATCAGMTTTTTATGTATATTAGTATTCCATTATTAGTTATTATTTTAAGTTACAAATTCAYYCAGACAATATGTTTCTTAACATGTGATAGTAGCATAACCAGCTCACAATTTCAATCTGGAAATCAAGATGGCGGCGAAATTCACATATAGCTAACTCACTATATACAACGCTTTCCACGTTTGTTTTTACAGTCAGCGTCGGTAGTACACTCGGCTGCATCCTCTTCATTCTTCTCTTCCTTGTGCAGTTTGTGCTCACTTGGAGCAACACTGATGAACAAGATTTTACATTTTATATAGTTGGTGGCAGAGTATTTTTCTTATGAAAGAACAACTGCTGCAAAAGATATACACGCTTTTAATAAGTCCCGAGGTATCGAGTTCTCCGCAATTGACTTCAAATTTATTCTTTTGAAATTTTTACAATACAAAACGAATTCAAAAGAATAAATTTGACGTCAAGTGCGGAGAACACAATACCTCGGGACTGGGTATGTAAGACTGGGTATATAAGACTGGGTGTATAAGACATAGGCTAGACCGATCGTTTTCAAACATTATCATGAGATTCATAAGATATCGACAGCCATGTTTAGTGAATGAACAATAGTTATCAAAGAGATTCCTCAGTTGAAGATCATCCAAGAAGATAGCCTCTTTGTGATGATCTATAGTGAAAACGCGGAATAGAGGACACTACGTGGGCGGAAAAGGATAAGGATTTATCCTGGTCTCCACTGTAAATAACAGGTAGCCATAGCCTCGCGCTAGACTATACAACTGTTCGACCTGACTTGGTGATTTTCACGATGRATCATCAAAACAAGATGTTGAGGAAGAGACTTACTTAACTCAATGTTTTGCCTTGTAACATTTWAAAAAATATGAATAAAATACTCACAAAGCCACAGCCAACATTACAATCAGAGCGATTACCAGAAACTTCTTCATCTTGAAAAATAATTCTTCATAAGGGAAAAAGGTATTTTGTTAGAAGTTTATACATAGAGATATACATGTACAAAAACTGTAAGAAATGATCAAATTCATGCTGTTAATTAATTTCAGTATAGTTACGCTGCATCTTTGATAATTAAAATGCGCTTTTTATTTGAATTAACGCAGTTTTTAGGTTGGGAGCCATTCTTTTAGCTCTGAATCTTCAAAAAGTTGGAGTAAACTAAAAAATTGAATAAAGACCAAAAAGTCTAAGTATCGTTGAAATTTCGACATTTTTTTTTCGATCGTCAATTATTTTTTTTTTTTTTATTCATTATTATCATTTTTGTTTGTTTGTTTGTTTTTTGCTTCATAGTGTTTTGTTTGATGTTGTTTTGTTTGGTTTTTCTTTGTTATCTTTGAATTCCACCATATGACAGAAAACAATAGAAATTTAGAAACAATAGATGATGAATGCTAAGAAATGACTAATCTGATTCGTAGATGTAAATTTTACTAAAAGCAAATTGAATCCTGTGCTTATTTACAAGAGACAAAAGTTTATCTATTGTTGAAAATCACGAAGAACAATAGCGTTATAGTCATGACGTCATATCCTTTTAATAGGAATCTTAAAGGGCTACTTGGATGAAAAATGGCGAAACACTGGAAAAGGCACRAAATTCTTGTAGACTTATCAATAAAGATCCTATAATCGCGAAGCAATGTATTTTGACAAGATATTGATACAATTTCTTAGGAATTTTGTCAAAAGATTTTKGAGTATATGACGTCATATACTCCATCCTTTTGTTCTATCTTCGTTTGAGTAAAACAATTTTCTGCTTTGGAATGACATTCATAACAAAACTTTTCTCTGAGAAGGAATTATAGGTATATATGAATCATATATTTGAATTACACAGGGTTCTGAAATTAGTGCTTCTTCGTGCAAGTTTCTTCTTTGTTTCGTATATCAATTGCATGTGTATAGAAGAAGATTATATTTCAAGTAGATATTTAGAATACGTTCTCGTTACTTCAGTAAGCTTTAAATAATTTTCAGTTTTAAATAATTTTGGTCCACGCATCAACTAAATGAAGTATCAAAAAAAAATTAACGAAATGTTGCAAAAGCAATATCATGCCTTAAACATATCTTATTTCGCATCTTTATATGTAGTACTAACACTACAGTTAAACCTTCAACAAGCACAATACCTTTGACAGTCGAAATAGATCAGCCTCAGGGATGTGTTGCATACAACTCCGTAATCTTGAATGATTGTCAACGGCTTGTAAAGTTTGTTTAATACCGTTGCACGAACCATTAAAATTTTACATTAATATTTCATATACCACAAGAAAGAATGGACTCTTGCTTGACTGGTATCTGTAATCCAGGTCACTGAAGTCATCCATTTATAACAAAGGATTTTTTTGAGACCCTTAAGTCTTAAGTGACCACCCCCAAGACGTTAAGCTGCATAAAGAAAGGTGATTGGTCAAGCTAAAAGCAATAGAAGACCTTCAAGGAATGTACTAGCACAGCAGTCTTTATAGAAACTCTTTCATTGGTCAGTTTATGGTTTTATGACTGACTAATTAATGTACTGCAACGGGTTGCAAATAACTTTAGGCCATCATCACGAACCTGAAGAACTACAGCAGGTCAG